ATGGATTAAAAGGGCTATGTACAGCTCCTACTTTGAATTCTGCACATAGCTCATCTGTCAGTCTGGGGCCACGGTTTTACCTGACAGAGGGGATGCTTAGGTATCCAATGACACCTGGGGCTCCTTGGTACCAGCAGGCATTTGACTCTTTTGGAACTTTTAATGCATGATGGTCTGTGGCGTCAATGGGCGTTAAAGTCCTCTAATGTATGACGCCATAGTCTGTCATGTTTTGTTAGGAGGTTAATCAGAATCTTGTGTATATTTTGATCTTTACAGGAGCACCACCACAAAGAAATACATGTTTTAGGTGTGGCCCTCAATTCCCTATTTTCTGAAGAACTATGAAATCAGTCTTCAGTTTTACAACTCACTGAACTTCATATTACTTGCATGCTTTTTGCAACATGTAAATCGGGCTGACAAGAAATGTTCCTATTTATAAATTACTAATGGTTGAACAGCCCTCTCTGTGGGAATTATAGTCGTATTCCTCATCAGGCAGCATAGACAACTACCTAGAGCTGGCTGGGCTCAGACAAGGGCTGGTGGGCCTGGAGCTCCAATTTGGTCTTCCTTGAGCCGGCAATAAGATTAAAAGATTTCCATGCTCAGCCTTGCGCCTTCTCCCCTGCTTGAGGGAACATTGTGGTATGCACCTCCATCGGGTGCATATCACATTAAGAGCCCTCTTGCGGTCGGTCCTCCGGCACTTCTCAATGACTCAGAATGCTACAGCAAATTCTCAGAGTTATTCGCATAAACTCACACTCAAATTTCTCAATGCACAAATTTCAGTCACTACACATACACTCAGCAACAACACACACACTCAATCTTCCAAACACATAATCACACAATCAGTGGTGGAACTGCTGATGAAGTCAAGGGGGCCCATGCAATGCACTTAGGGACGCCTGAGGAGTACATGTCTTCAGGGGTCATGTTTTAAGCTGAGGCTCTTAAACGGTGCAACCGGGCCCCCTATTACATGGACAGCTCTAGGAGGAAGTGTATTTCCCAGTAGAATCATGAATATTTGTGCATATTCGGTGTGCTTTATTATATAGGATCTTTTCTTTTTCTTCTGAATATTTTGTAATAGAATTTTAATTTATACCTGCACCATATTGGTAAGGATTACACAACATTAGTAAAACCAAACCAGCCAGCTATGCACCGCATTATTCAGTACCCCCAGTAAGTAGCCATCTCTCTTCTCTATGTCTGATAATGATCTACTCTATTATCACCTTTTATCATCCCTAAATACACAAAGATCGATATTCCCCTGCATGTCCTTACTATGAGCAACGAGTGGCCAATCTAAACTTCATTAGTACGAAATTGATTTATAAATAGTATACACCAACACGTTTTATGCACTAAACTCTGAATCAAAGTGATCCGAAATCAAACTGAAATATCACAGCTTAAAGTATCAAGCTGTGTCTAAAGCCACGATTAATCATTGCCTCAAATCAGATAAATTTGCTTATATTTCACAATTTAGTTTTCAATTCAGTCCAATTTTAGGGAGGAACTCAGACAGGGATATTTACTAAAGCATTGAATGGCAGGAATTCAAATGTTAGATCAAAATAGCCAAGCTAAGTCAGCTAGGTGTTCAGTTTTGGCCCATGTTGCTATTGGCAGCCATTGTCAGCCGACACTCTCAGCCAAACACACAGTTTCTCAAACAAATGCTTCCACATTTGTGAAAAGGAACAGTAGAGGAAGCCAGACCAATGCCTATGGGACTCAACTTCACAATTGACAGTTGTGGCATTCAGGCTCTGTGTTCTTCCATTGTCTGCTAATTACCGTGAGGGCAGCTATGAGTATATGGTATAGGAGGTATTTTCGTCTCTGGTTTCAGTGGAAGTTGTATTCCGGTGCAGTGCTGTGCTGTGGTTGCTACGTCTTGCTAGTAGGTCTTGAGTCCTGTATATTGCCACCAGATATGTAGCATTGTGCCCTGGTTTGTGTGGCATCTCCAGCAGGCATCTGTTATATTCGGGTAACTTTATTTGAGACGTGTAGGGACTAGGTACCATCTGTATAATATTTTGTGCGATCGTTCGATATGGGATGCACAGAGGGTCATTTGTTTTTGAGCCTGGAGTATTTTCCTCCATTGGGAGTTGTTTAATTTGTATGCAAGTTTCTTTTCCCATGCTTTCGTGAATGGAAGAGATTCGATGTTCTGTGTAGATTGTTCGGAGGTGTAGATTATGGAGATGAGTTTGTTTGGTGGTGTGAGCCGTAGACAAATCTTCTCCACAGCTGTTAGGGTGTTATATGTGTCGTCTCCCTTTTCGTCTGTGTGATCCAGGATTGGAGCTGGGTGTAGGAGAATTGAGCTATAATGGGTAGGTTGAACTCTGTTCGTAGGTCTGGTAATGTTTTGAGGTGGGAGTCGTGTAGTAGTTGGGATAGGGAGTACGCTCCATGTCTGTTCCAGATTCTGTAGTTGATGTCATGGATTATGATGGGCATAGCCGCTAGCGGTAAGGCTGGAGGGATATGGTGCATCTGGTCCTATTCATATGGTGAATTTGGTTAGGACCGCATGAAGGAATGGCCAGTGCAGTCTGTCAAAAGCTTTTTTGACGACCGACAGCCAGACATTAGGTTTTCCCCTCCCCCGCGTTCCATGTAGTATGTCGAGCAGTTTTCTCATGCCATCTGCGCCCTGTCGTCCCCCCACGAAGCCCACCTGGACCTCAACTGTGAGTGAAGGGATTATGCGGTTGTAAAATATTTTGGCCAATAACATGACATCTGTATTTAACAGAGATATGGGCGAATTTCTTGTAATACAAGTTCAAAAGTTTGTCTGGGCCTGGGGATTTCCCAGGTGGTAGTGCCTGAATGGCGTCTAGGATTTCTTATGCGGTGATAGTGTGTTGTATCACTGTTGCCTGCGTGGGTGTCTGGGTCGGTAGTGTGGTGAGTTGTAAGAAGTTGGTGATGTCTCGTGTGGTCGGTTGATGTAGGGCTTTGTCCTCATTGAGGTTGTAGAGCTTATGATAATATGCCACCATTTTTTCATTTATGTTTTGGGGGTTTTGTAATTTGGTGCCCGTGCTGGTAACCAGGTAGAGAGTTCTGGCATTGGCCTTTTTTCGACGGAGCATGTGAGCTAGGGTTTTCCAGGCTTTATTGCCTTGGGAGTAGGTTCTCTGTTTTAATTTAGTCTGTATGTGTGTGGTCTTGTTTAGGAATAGTGCATTAATGCGGGCTGTCGTTTTAGCTATTACTTTAGTGTGTGCCTCCCACGGATGCAGGAAGTGTGCGTTGGTGGTATCTCTCAGTTTGCGTAGTGAGGTGTTGTAACCGTGTGTTCTTGATGTGCGGCTCTACTGATCAATAGGCCCTGGCTTGTGGGCTTGCCCTGTTGAGGTGATACTGATATCTGGGATGGTGTTGAGTTCGAAATATGTTTGGATGTTTACTGTGAGTTGTTTGGTAAAGTGTGTGTCTTGCAAGAGTGCGTCATTGAGAGGCCGGGGGGTGGGGGGGGGGAAGGTTGCCTCTATGTTGGTAGTGGTCATGGTGTTCGGACCAAGTTATGTTGCCTATGTCGCATTGTGAGATTTTGGGAAGGAGTGTTCCAGATGTGAGGATGAGGTAAATTCTGGAGTAGGTCTTGTGTACTGCCAAATGGTATGACTAGACCCTGTCAGAGGGGTGTAGAGGCGTGGGCATGCATGAGGTCCCTTACATATACCTGGAGGTCACAAAACAGATTCTGGGACCCTACTGAGGCGTAGGTTGTTTCGTGGCACCGTCTGCTGAGTCCGCCATAGGGGTTTCCATCGCCTCTAGCTGGTGCTCCAGGGCCTGCACTTGGTCGGCCATTTTGTTTTGAACCGTGGTGAGCACTTTGCACTCCGCTTCCACGCGGTTCGCTCTGGTGGTGAGGTTTGAGACTTAATTTATTAGCTGGTCTGCTGTGGTTTGCCATGAGGCACTTAGTTTTGTGGACATAGTTTCCATAGCATTTGCAAATAAATCTTTTGTGAGGCTTTCAGAGTACAGCGGTGGATTCAGCGCAGCCATGTGGTTGCTGGATTAGACTGTCACAGCGCAGTCTCGTAGGCCCGTCCGCTCGGCAAGGTGGTTGTTTTCTTGCCGAAGAAGTTTTGTTTGTCGGCAGTCTGGTCAGATACCCATAAATGACCTCTGTCCAGAGTCAAAAGCATTTTCAATGGGGAAGTGAGCATCAGAGCTGGACCATTGAACAATGGAAGAAGCGTGCCTGGTTTTCTTTTAAGATGGAGGTGGATTGCTCAATCCAATTGAGCAGCTGCGGGATGTACTGGAACAATAAATCCGATTAATGGAGGCTCCACCTCTCAGGATCTGCTTCTAATTTCTTGGTGCCAGATAAGCACAGAACTCATTCAGAGATCTTATGGAGTCCATGCCTCAACACATCAGATCTGTTTTGCCAGCACAACAGCAACCTACCCAATATTAGGCAGGTGGTTAAAATGTGGTGGCTGATCAGGGTATAGCATTAGGAAAAGAAACCTGTATTCTTAATGCTAAAATGCTCCTCTCCCTAGATTCAGTCGTTGTTCTTCCCCCACCTATCAAACATACCCACAAATTAGCAGTATTTGTGCAAACAGCAGACAGAAAAGTGCAAACAGGCTGTGACTGTCTTGACATATAACACAAGGAATAAAAAAGACATAAATAAAAGTAAAGAGTCAAAGGAAAGCATATAATCATTAAGATTCAGGAGGCATAAGGCAAGAAAAACCAAGGGGGGCAGGTCCGCTTTAAGTGTTTAGCCATTCAAAATAGTTCACCAGTGAACTCTGGGCACCATATCCACAACACTAACCAGAACAGTGTTTTGCTCCTGGAATAGTTTAAGTCTTGTTGATTTTAAGGTTGCATTTTAATCCATCTACCATACATAAGGAAATATATAATTTGGAGGAAAGTTGTACCTGTTAAAAAAACAGCAATACCTTTAGATGGGCTTCAAGAGACAGTGTGAGGGGGTAAATTATTCTGCAGAAAATGTAGCATCTAGTTATGACATTTTTAAACAAAGTAAAAAACTCTCAGACAGGCCCAATCACTGTTTTCTAACCCTCCCATCCTTTTTTAATTCAAGGCCTAAAAGGAGTGCACTCTATGTAAAATCAAATAGAAATCTTTAGATTGGAGCTGGGTTATAGGTTAGTGTAAACAGGAATTCTTTTCGTAGTTGCCAAGAGTCCTTAAGTGACATCTTTGATTGTCAGATGAATTCATTTTTTTTATTTGAACAATTACATTGCAAAACAGGCATTAAATCTAACTTCAAGTTTAACCACACTGTGAACACTTCCCTACGTGCTTCTCTTAGACACATAAGCCAGCAGGGAGACATTACAGAACAAACAAATTAAATACAAAAGGCTTTCCTCTTAGTTTGTAATGCAATATATTTGTTTATTTTCACTTTAAATAAGCCTGGAATTTTTATTCTCTGCTCTGTGAATAAACAAAAATTTCTCACCCCTAACTCAACATACCCTTTAACCTAATAAAAACGTGGCACGCAAACAGCTCCATTATTGCGTGCGCTTTATTAACATTCTTACAGATCGAGAAACTCAAGAGAGATGGAAAGAAGGAGTGTGAAAGAAGAGAGCTTTAACCTCTCCCTCCTCAACATTTCTTGTATCCACAGAGGAGTGGGAAGCTTCCTTCCAAACAGTTCTTGGCACCCTCCCCAACCAGGCATTGCGAGAGGGGAGGGATCAGCATGAAAAGGGACGCCAGGTACAAGATGGGAGATCAACGCTTTATTTAAACAGAAAATGTCTGATTCATCACCGGATTGCAATTAAACCAATATCCATCAGCTTTTGTATTTTCTGGGCAATAACTGGATTCTTTAAGTGTCTGTAAAATAAAGAAAATATAACTCAATTCATATTTATATGAAATATAACTTCTTTAGTGATACAAGAAGGTTCAAAACACTCAGATATTTGCCTTATATTAATAAAGATATATTTGTATATTTTCTTATTTCTATACCATAAAACTACCTATTTAAGGGAAAGACAATACAACACCCTGAGCACATGTGTTAAAAGAGGATAGATCCAAATTAATAGGGACAGGATGTAGGGAGACCCATGGGTAATGAACTGTTAAGAAAGGAGAGTTGATATGCAGTAGTAATGGAACTATTGTTCGTGACCTACAACTAAGTATAGATATATGATCTAACTCAATGAGATATGCAATGTTAAAGAGGGCGAGGTTTTACGATATTAAATCGAAGACAAAACCAAGGTGAATGAAGATTATACGAGAAGATCCCAGGATAAACTGACTCTACTCATTTAAGAAGGATGTTTTTAGCTTTAACTATACCCCAGTGGATAAAAGGTATAGATTACATTCACATTTAGTGTTCTGGGAGAGTGGGGGATACGTAGCCTCCAGCTGGGAGTAGAGATTGGTGAATGTTGAGTTTAATTTTGAAATACGTAAATAATTATTGCATTTTTGTAGGATTTATTTTATATTTAGACCCTGTGTGATCTGAACAAATGTAATTAGAGACCTGCATGTCTCCCTGACAACCCTGATACTTTGAAGTTATGGTGTATTTATCTTATTTATCTATGTATTTATTTTTCTTGTATCTTTTTCTTGAAAATCAATAAAAAAAAAAATATTGAAATACTTAATAAAGATTTTCTTTATTAAAAAAGTACAGGAGTAGTGTAAATAACTAAAAGATTAAAAGTACAGAACACAATGCAATTGCCCAAGCATTCCGATTGATATGGGTATCGATAATTAATACAATTACCCCACTGGCATCTTTTTCCCAAATGCCGAACAATAAATAGAGAATGAAAAAATGAAAAACAAAAACACAATTAAACCGATAATAGCTCCCAACAGATTCCTCTCCTGCAACGGTTGTTAAAAACAACAAAACATTAAAGGACCACTATAGTGCCAGGAAAACATACTTGTTTTCCTGGCACTATAGTGCCCCGAGGGTGCCCCCACCCTCAGGGACCCCCTCCCGCCAGGCTCTGGGGAGAGGAAAGGGGTTAAACTTACCTTTTTTCCAGCGCCGGGCGGGGAGCTCTCCTCCTCCTCTCCATTCATAATGCTTTCCTATGGACGCTGGCATCTTCTCACTGTGATTCACAGTGAGAAGCACGCAAACGCCTCTAGCGGCTGTCAATGAGACAGCCACTAAAGGCTGGATTAACCCATTTATAAACATAGCAGTTTGTAAGAAACTGCTATGTTTATAAAAAAAAAATTTAAAAAAGGGTTAATCCTAGAGGGACCTGGCACCCAGACCACTTCATTAACCTGAAGTGGTCTGGTTGCCTAGAGTGGTCCTTTAAGAAAATTCCATCTAATTTGCCTAGAGATAGATCGATTGATCTATCTAAAAAATATAAAAAAAACTAAACAAAAAAAACAAACAAACAAACAAAAAAAAAAGTGTTTTTACTCTCCTCTTGATGCAATGGGTCACTTAACTGGATTTGACCCCCCAGACCCAAGGCTGCCAGCCCTCCCCTGCCACCTATTCTAAAGCGCTGCAGAATTTGCTGGCTCTATATAAAAAATAATCTTATCCATAGATGCAAACTGAGCATGAACATTTCTGGGACATCCTGTTGAAGTCTGTTGTAATGTATCACCTTATTTGTATTTTACTCAATCAACATAAAATGCAGACATGCATCAGACCTGCTATAGGGCAGGATGTCTATACAATCTGTGGATCACTGATTTTATCGGAGACATGCATGAGAATATCCTGTTGGTTACAGAATTAAACAAACTGAGTGGAAATATAAGATTGCTGTAGAATTACAAACCATCTGAATAAATATATAAAGAATGTAAAGACTTAGCAGAACACAGTTTCACAAACAATATTATTATAGATATAGATACTCACTCGCTAAGGGCCTGTGGGTCTTTTTGCATCTGCTCTAGTATAAGTCTCATGGCTGGATCATTCATTATCTGCTGCACTTCAGGGTCTGACATGGCTCTGCGCTTCACATCCTCCGGACTGTCATTTCGATGATACTGTGACATCACACACCTCTGGTAACCCTCTGTTGCCTCCTGCAGACACAAATCACAAATTACGCTGTATATTTATGATAGCCAAGCATACAGAATATTTCTTACTAGAATCCAAGCTGGTGAAGAAAATTAACCTAAGACACAAAACAGTTATTGTGCCATTTTAAAAAGATCTTCTAAAGCAGTAGTTCTTTTTGACAGGAACCCAAATTATACACATGGCATAAGCTTGGTAACCAATTCTTCTATTGCAACATACTATATACCAAAATGTATCTACGAAGAATCTAATTAGAGCAGAGATCATTATAATTAATTACATGGCAGGTAAGGCAGGCTGATCCCTTCTTCTTTCTATTAACAGTGTTAATTGAAGTCTCCAGATCATTCCCCTCTTTGGACAGTCAGCACCACAACTTAGCCTACTAGAGTACCTTCAAAGAATCTCCTGGAAATCGAGGTAGCAGGTTCCTCCTGGACTCTTACCTCATGCTCCACTGAGACCCGGCCGAAGGGATGCAATAGTTTAATATTACAATATAGCCTTGTATTCAGAGTGCTTATCAACCTCTCACACTTGCTTCTACAAATGATTTACAGAATCTTTTTTAGAGTCTATTGGACCTAGCCTTTTGTTTGTTAAGCTCTTCTCCTCTGGTCATTTTATGCAACTCGTTCAGCAGATTTGCTGCAAGAGGGTATTCCTTTGAGCCAACCCTAGGGGTGTAAAATGTATAATTACAGAGCTTTACCCAATACTCTTGTGGGACACTTGCAGAGGAGTAGGCATCCCCACCTGGGAAGCTACACACTCTCTGATCCCCAATACATTAGTGCCAGTACTGCCTTCTGAGCTGGGTTCAAATGGGGACAATCTCCTTGTGAAGAGTGTGGGACAGACTTCTGATTTTCACCTAACATTTATGATTTTCAGTGCGTTATGTTAATAAATGACCACTCCAGGCACCGTAACGTTGTCATTAGAAAGAAGTTCCACCTTTCTAAAGAAGCACCTTTTTAATAATTATAAGATAGAGTAGTGCTGTACCTTGCAGTTGGAGTCCAGATCCAAGGCTTTTTGGTAGGCATCCATGGCCTTGGTGAAATCTTTCATGGCCTCCAGTGCTGCTGCCTTTCGTGTATAACCTTTTACTGCAAGGCAAAATAAACCAGATATGTATGAAAGGTTTGTCAAAATAATGATACATCACTTAAAAGGATTCTATAGGCACCAAAACAAACTTTAGCATAATGAAGCAGTTTTGGTGTTCAGATCATGCCCCTGTAGTAAATTCTCTGCCATTTAGGCGTTAAATCACTTTGTTTAAACAGCCCTAGTCTCACCTCTCTGCATGTACCTTACACAGCCTTCCTAAACACTTCCTGTAACGTGAGATCTAATGTTTAAAAATGTAAATCTTTATTGCAGTCTGTTTAATTTAGAATTGCTTATCTTTGGCTATGTTAATCGCCTGCTAGGCACTGCAGGAGCCTCCTGTGTTTGACTAAAGTTTAATTTACAGAGCAGGAGAGCTGTGGCTAGGGATGCATGTACAGAAACAAGATTGTATTTATAAACCTGTTGTACAAGTCTGCAGAAAGAAACTTAATTGAAACTATTTTCATTAATACTGCATGTAATTCTATTAGTACAATTATTGCAACTAGAAGCAAACCAGAAAAAAAAAGGCAAAAGCATAAATGAAAAACTCAAGGTGGGTACAATAAATTTGTCCAGATTTTGGGCATACCTCACATAGACATGATTTACGTCTGGAGTCAGGAAAATATACATAGTCCTTCCATGATAAAAAGCCTTTTGATATAGCAAAGGTTTGGGACAATGATAGCCCCAACATTTCTATGGGAACCATCCACTGCTACACTGGAGTCCATCAAAATGCAGTTGAGGAGGCCAATCAGAGAGGTAAGATCCAGAGTGATTTGGGTTCTCTACTGTTGCAAAACAGTTACATTACATTTAAATATCCCAAATGGTTCCCAGACTTCTGTGGCACCATCTTATGTATTATTTTCCTAAACTCCAGACCCCCCTAAAGCACTTCCGCTTGCTAAAGTGCTTTATGAGGGAAGTCTGCTCTTTTTGTAAAATAGGGGGAAGGGAAGAAAGGCAGCAACTGCCCAGAGCTTTCAGAAGATTTCGATGTGTTGTAAACATGCAGTGCACACTGAAATCAGACATAATTATTTGCACAGTTGACCATTTGCATCCCTGAACAGAGTTTTGGGCTGCCTAAGTCTCGTGTGCTACGGGTGCAACTTGTCCCCAGCACACAAGTGCAAATATTTCTAACCACAGTGACCACTTCATATCATTGAAATAATCATGGTGGTTGGAGTAATGATTTAATAAGGGACAAAGCTATCGTTCGTTAACAGGCTTATTTGTGGGACATTCTTGAACCTTTTAAATGCATAGCCAGATTTTAGAAAACAAGCTTACTATGCAAAAAAAATATATATATATTTTTTTTTAAATAAACGACAACCATGACCATGCACTTTAAAAACACATTTGTATTCCTTTAACACTTACTGAATGCGGGTTCCAATCGAATGCATTCTTCACAGTCCTAGAGAAGATCAATTAAAGGGACATACATTACTAGACAATTGTAAAATTATTATTTTTTTAAAACCAGTGAACACTTAAGCATACATACAAACCAAACTAAATTAAGAAAAAATGTCAAAGTATGTAGTAAGCATTTATAAACGTACTCCAACAACTAAATTTTTGGGCATGTGTCTCAACTATTGGACTTTATTAAAGGATCACTATCAGGGTCAGGAACACAAACATGTACCACCATCTGGCCCCCCTGGGCCCCTCAATATAGTAAAAATCTTACTGTATTCAAGCCTGAAGCTGTAAATCTGCATGCTGTTAGACTCAGAAAAACAAGCAGTCTGTTGACATGTGTTAGCCTGATCCAATCACAGTGCTTCTCCATAGGATTGGCTGAGACTGACAAAGAGGCAGATCAGGGGCAGAGCCAGCATGATTCAAACACAGCCCTGGCCAATCAGCATCACTTCATAGAGATGAATTGAATCAATGAATCTCTATGAGGAAAGTTCCGTGTCTGCAAGCAGAGGGAGGAGACACTGAATCACAGGATGCTGTGCACCGTGCTGCCCTGTGCTTTGCTGACAGCAGATCTGAGTGGATGGAGGCATATTATGCCTCCATGAACTCTGAAGTCTCTCTGGTTCACTCTGAGTGACTGCAACTGGAGGTGTTCCTAGCTTTCAATGTAAACACTGTATTTTCTCAGAAAATACAGTGTTTACATGAGAAAGGCTGCAGGGAGCTATAGTTCTCACCTGAACAACCTCATTAAGCTGAAGTTGTTCCGGTGACTATAGTGTCCCTTTAAGCCTGTAGAGCGTGCAAATATGTGTTGCCTTACACTACGAGTAAAGATAGAAATCCAATTACTGAAATTAAAGTGTCACTGTCTGGGGTGTCCATAGACAGTGGCTACACATTGGTTGACTGATGGCTCATCTAACATGAAAATCATTGAGATACAAAGATAAAATATATATCTCCTCATGAGACCCAGTCCATTAACTTGTGCCCTTTGTACTGGACATTTCGTTCACATCTCTTTTTATTCTTTTGAGCTCCTCTATCAATCCAATCCATGTTGTATTGTAAAGAGGACATCCTGGGCTTTCCAGTGATATGTCATGTGATAGGCGGTTATAATGGAAACTTCCTATTCCTTTCCATAAAAAATGGATGGCATATTGGATCTGCCACAATACCAGTAGCGTCTGGCTTTGTGTTGTTTTGGAACCACTCACCTTAAGTGCCAGTTGGAACTCCAGCAGCTTGGTGTAACACGCAGCTCTGTTGCTGTACAGTTTGGCATCTTTGGGGTTCCTCTTTATAGCCTCTGAGTAATGTTTCATAGCTTGAGGGTAATCACCTAATGGGAGAGACGGGTTTAAGTATACTCACACTAAATACAAAGAAACTAGAGTGTATTGAAATTAAACAAATCTTTGGACTCCCATTAAGCAGAGCATATCATGTTTTTCCAGAAATCCCTCAATACCCAATGGAGGCTCATCCATAGGGGCACTAGTCCAGTTTTTATGTGAGGGGAAAACAAATATTTGTAGTAGTTTATAAAACCACTAAGATTCTTTTTCTAGAAGGGAAGGTGGTAAGCCAAAGTATAGGAAAGACACGCCAAGGGTTTTATATGCACGCAAATAGAGGGGGCAGGGCACTCATATGCTACAAGGGTAGAGGCCACAAATCCAAAATACATAAGATTTCCACATCTGACGGTAATAAACTCCCTTTCCCATTGCTATATCCAAAAAGTTACAATCTGATTACTCAGCACGAATTTGCAATCAGAGCAGCCACTGCTCAGTCGTAATGACTTATTTGTCTAAATACATTTGAAAATGGTTATCAGATGAAGCAATGGAGGCTTCAAAGGCTCCTCTTCATGAAGAGCGACTTGTCGGAGCAGTTAAAACCTCTAAAAACGGGTAGGTCCCCAGGTATCGACTGCTTCCTCTTAGGGAACTATAAGAAGTTTAATTCTATCCTGATTTCAAAACTGCTCATATCACTATTCTGTCCAAGGAGGGGAAAGATCTAAAGTTATGCGCTAGTTATAGGCCAATCTCGTTAAATGTGGATGTAAAACGTTTGGCCAGGCGTATTCAACATCGAATATCTCTGCTAATCCACGCTGATAGTAGGGTTTTGTCCCAGGAAAGGAAACCAGAGACAATACCCGTGACTTAGTATATGGTACACAAGCACAAAAGGACTTCTGATCGGATAGACTAGGGTTTTAGAAGACAATCTCCAGAAGATGGGAGTCTGGGAAAAGTTTTGACAATAAATAACATTACTGTATACAGATTAAAAAGGTGGGAGCCAGGGTCAATGGCTATTGGGAGAAGTACAAATATGTAATGGGACGAGACAAGGATATCCACTCTCCCCTTGTTTGCTCTATTTTATATTAGCATAAGAAAGTGCTTGGGATGTACTAAAGTCAATATTCGTTAAAGTTCAGGTAACTTATTAGACACAGAATTTCTCTCCCCTTTTTATACATGTACCCAAATACACTAACACAAATGGAGTCTGACCTTTCTGGAAGTATTCATTCCCCTTGCTCTTCTCTTCTAGTGCAATCTCAGGGTTAATATATGCAAGACGGTCTTGTTCCTTAAGAATCTTCTCAGCCTAGGACATGACAATGGTATAACTGGTTTTACAGATACAGTTTTTAACAGGCTCTGCTGAATTGATTAACCAACAACAGCTAAGGAGAGACGTAGAGATCTATATCCATTTATTATCACTGCATATGACTATTCTGAATTATTTGATATTGTGGTTACACAATCACTATATCATAGTGCGCAGTTAACTTTTCTTTGATGGATTTCATTGTGGCATAGCTTGTATTGCAATGGCAATTTATTGCAGCATTTTAAGCAGATTTGTCACATTTCAGTATTTTATAAATATATATTCTTTATAAAATACTGATTAAGACTGCGTTGGAATGTCACTGAAATTCCAACGCAGTCCAAAGTGATCATACAACAAAGTAGGGATTACTTTGTCTTATGGAAAAGCCTGACATTGACAAAAAGAGGAACTCCTCTGTTAACTTTTGTCTAATCCCAATAGTTGCCACAAATGACATATTTGGCTTGGTCTATAGAGGATCCTGCGGTGTCGTGGGACCCTTCAGAGACCTCTGATGTACGCTTAATGATGCACATGAGTACATTACAGACATGGCTCTTTAAGCACCAGAAGCCAAAGAGACCTGCAGCATTAAGACTGTTGCATCAACCTGAGGTAAGCAGAAGTCTTTTCCCCTGCTAATGGACTCACCAGACCTGCCTATTTCTGGGGACTTTGTGAAATTATTTTTATATAGCGCCAACAAATTACGTAGCTTATGTAAAGACCTCTGAAACAGACAGGTCTGCTTTAAAGGGGAAACGTCACTTCCCGTGAGCTTTAACTTAAAAGGAACACTATAGCCACCATAACTACAACTTAATGTAGTTGTTCTGGACAGTATAATCATTCCCTTCAGGCATTTTCATGTAAACATTGCCTTGTCAGACAAAACGCCATGTTCACATTGCACCCTAGGGATAGCTCCTGTGGCCACTGGAGGTGCTTCCTGGGGCAGTGCTGCACAGTAGGCAAGACTGCCGTTCAGCATCTCCAAACTCTGCATGGAGACGCTGAATTTTCCTCATATAGATGCATTGATTCAAAAACTTTGGATTGGCTAAAAATCGTAGATTCTGATGATGTCACCAAGAAGGCGGATCGGGGCCAAAAGGTATGTTTGTCCCCCCCCTCCTAAGGGGGCGCAAGTTACCGAAATAGTCGTTTTAACACTATAGGATTAGGAATACAGGTTTGTGTTCCTGACCCTACAGTGTTTCTTTAACCCCTTATGGACACATGACATGTGTGACATGTCATGATCCCCTTTTATTCCAGAAGTTTGGTCCTTAAGGGGTTAAATGTGTGAGATGAAAACCAAAAATAAACAAATCTATACCAATATTGCCTTCATATTACCTGTCAACTATGTTTATATGCTCTGGCCTTTCCACCGGGCAGTCTGCATAGAGAGAAGAAAAATGAAACCAGGTTTCTATTTTTTCCTCCATGTTTGCCTTTTTGTGCCTGGACTAAACTGAATTATTATTTAAAAGAATAATGGAGTATCACATGAAAAAATGTATAAAGTGATATACAGAGTTTCACTCAATGGTGTAATTTCTAGAGAAGACGAGTTCTGCCTCCTGATGTGTAACAATGACAAATTTAATTTATGGCAATTCTGCACCCAAGCAAATTTCATATATTTTATGTTATCATACACATCACCTTACAAAGCCAATAAAATGTTTTCCAATTTAACAACCTCTCTGGAACTCTTTGGTATGTACCTTTCTAATGCCTTTTTCTCAATGGCAGGGCACTGATGGGTGGAGCGCATCAGCTGACAGTCTCCACCTAGCACCCAGTCCAAGGCTTTTGTATTAAAGCAGAGGTTGAAGGAGGAGACCAAGAGACCTAGAAGGCAGGCACTGTTTGGAACACTCTGGAGTTAAACCGTTCATATATACACACACACACTTTAATTCTTTAAGGCAATACTGTACTCAGAAACTCTAGGCACCATAGCAACTTAAATGAGATAAGAAGGTTATGTTTCCCAGCATTCTTTTAAAGATACAAGGTTTATGGACCACAAAAAAAAAAAACCACACACACACACACACACACACAAAAAACAACAACAAATTTCTTGCCTACCCCTACAAAGGCTATTTCCCAAATTCTCTCACATCTGTCATTTATCATATGGTTCTCCTATGCCAGTGATTTTCTAGATCTTTCAGGATCAAACATGAACTCTTGTCAACAAATAAATAACAAATTTATGTCCAGTCATCTATCTCTTCTGTCAATTGATCAGGCCATCATGCTCTAAGCATGCCCTTTACATGCAGTGTAAAATATCAGCATATATATAGTTAAAGGACCACTCTAGGCACCCAGACCACTTCAGCTTAATGAAGTTGTCTGGGTGCCTGGTCCAGCTAGGGTTAACCCATTTTTTTTTTTTTATAAACATAGCAGTTTCAGAGAAACTGCTATAATTATGAATGGGTTAAGCCTTCCCCCTAATCCTCTAGTGGCTGTCTCATTGACAGCCACTAGAGGCGCTTGCGTGCTTCTCACTGTGATTTTCACAGTGAGAGCACGCAAGCGTCCATAGGAAAGCATTGTAAATGCTTTCCTATGCGACGGGCTGAATGCGCGCGCAGCTCTTGCCGCGCGTGCGCATTCAGCCCAGGAGGAGGAGAGAAGGAGGAGAGCTCCCCGCCCAGCGCTGGAAAAAGGTAAGTTTTTAACCCTTTCCCCCTTCCAGAGCCGGGCGGGAGGGGGACCCTGAGGGTGGGGCACCCTCAGGGCACTATAGTGCCAGGAAAACGAGTATGTTTTCCTGGCACTATAGTGGTCCTTTAAGATGTCTTAAGTTAAGGGAAACGTGTTAAAACACACTATATGATCAGGAACACAAACATGTATCCCTGACCCCATAGTCTTAAAAACACCATTTAGCCCCCACTTAATATAGTAAAAGCTTACCTTTATTCCAGTCTGTTGGTGCATGCTCTGCCTCCTTGGCTGACATCATCAGAAAATAGCATTGGGATAGCGGAAATTGTCAAGGAGGTAGATTATGGACCAGTACACACCAAATACAGCCCTTGCCAGTCAGGATCTCCTCATAGAGATGCATTGAATCAATGCATCTCTATAAAGAAAGTTCAGTGTCTCCATGCAGAGTGTGGATGCAATGGCAGTGTGCAGCACTGCCTCAGAAAGCACATCTAGTAACCAAATGAGGAGTAGCCAGTGGAGGTCTCCCTAGGTTGTAACGTAAACACTAAATTTTCTCTGAAAATACAGTGTTTACAGCAAAAAGCCTGAAGTGAATGATTAAACTCCCCAGAACAAATACAATAAATTTAGTTAATCTGGTGACTAGTGTTCCTTTAATGTCTTGGCATCTCTCTGGCCATCCACTGACAGAAATAATACATACTACAGGTCTCACGGAAGGGTGCAGGGACTAGTTTAGTCCCTGAAGGTAAGATTTTGCATGGACATTTTACCTCATAACATTTTCAATGAGCTCAATTACAAGTTATTAATTTACCGTACAATAAAATAAGTCTGTCATCCAGTCCATATCTACCTGCTGGCATTTCTTAAGGACATCTGGTGTCCTGTGTTCAGCCAATGATTTGTTGAAGAAGTGAATCGCTTCCTTATACTTCTCCTCCTTGAAGTAAGAATTTCCTATACGAGCATAAGCTCTGCAAGAAAGAAATTAAACATTGGATTTAAAAAGATTAACAGGACTGTACCTTGCATGTTAAAAGTCTATAAATTGATAATTCACATCCTAGTGAGCAACTACTGAAGTATGCTAAAAACGGATGCTACTGTCTGATTTCATTTAGAAGACGACGGATTAGCACTATCTTAGTACTACCAGTAAAACCATCTAAATATAGATTTAAGATAGAGATACCAAAATATTTTCGAACTACAAGTTTCATGATGTTTTGCCATTTGAATGGCTGGCAAAGCAAAGGGATGTGGTTTATGATCCTTAGACTGTTCTTTAAGTCTATTTTTCCCCTAATTAAAGTTTACATGAAGGCCTACTTGCAGCACTGGAAAGTAATTCATATGAATATACAGACACAAGCAGGCATTATTAATTCATATATTTATACAGATAAAATTAAGAGCTACTGTAAGGACCAAACTAACTTTGGAGTCAATGACAGCAACATTCCAGCAGTCTAATCTGTTTTCTCCAAATTATACACCAGGGTGCGGTCACCCTGGCGACCAGGATATTTTTTCTGGCGCCTGGGATTTGTAAACCTGTTCAGCCCCCGAGGTGACTGGCTGCCTGAGAGCAAAGGCAGGCAAGCAGCTGATAGAGCGGCCGGCTTATGTATTGCTGAGGAAGGGAGGGATGAAGGCGGGCAGCCAGCTCATGGAGAGCTGAGGGAGGCAAGAGACTAATCTCCCTGCTCTGCTCCCTCACGTGCTTTGTTGTTATGCCAGGAGCCGGGTAAGGATGTCACTCAGGCCCACAGCTCACCAAACAGTGCCTGAGAGGGAGCAGACAGCAGTCAGACTGGACCCCAGGGAAAGCCTATCCACTCCAGTTCTTCCAAAGGTTGGGTGGATTTAATCAAAATATACACAAGCCCCTCCCTGGAGTCCCTGTGTCTGGGAGATAGAGTCAAAACTGAATAACTCAATTATCTCTCAGTTACAGGAAAAAGCATTCAGGGACAGGATATAGACTTTAGAACAACCACATTAAAGGGACACTATAGTCACCTGAACAACTTTAGCTTAATGAAGCAGTTTTGGTGTATAGAACATGCCCCTGTAGCCTCACTGCTCAATCCTCTGCCATTCAGGAGTTAAATCCCTTTGTTTATGAACCCTAGTCACACCTCCCTGCATGTGACTTGCACAGCCTTCCATAAACACTTCCTGTAAAAAGAGAGCCCTATTTAGGCTTTCTTTATTGCAAGTTCTGTTTAATTAAGATTTTCTTATCCCCTGCTGTGTTAATAGCTTGCTAGACCCTGCAAGAGCCTCCTGTGTGTGATTAAAGTTCAATTTAGAGATGGAGATACAATTATTTAAGGTAAATTACATCTGTTTGAAAGTGAAACCAGTTTTTTTTTTTTCATGCAGGCTCTGTCAAATCATAGCAAGGGGAGGTGTGGCTAGGGCTGCATAAACAGAAACAAAGTGATTTAACTCCTAAATGACAGTGAATTGAGCAGTGAAATTGCAGGGGAATGATCTATACACTAAAACTGCTTTATTTAGCTAAAGTAATTTAGGTGACTATAGTGTTCTTTTAAGCTGTAGTGGTTCTGGTGTCTATAGTGTCCCTTTAACAATTGTATTTTTGACATTTATTTCTCTGGCTCCTAATTTTTATAGCTGACTCCTTGAGTCCAATCAAATTTGTCAAGCCCTGTTATACACATTGCAAGGCAATAAATCAACCAATGATGCAATATTAAAATTAAAAGGGACACTATAAGCACAAAAACGACTTTAGCTTAAAGAAATTGTTTTGGTGTATAGATTATGCCCCTGCAGTCTCATTCCCCAGTTCTCTGCCATTTAGGAGTTAAATCATTTTGTTTATGGAACCCTTGTCACACCTCCCTGCATGTGACTCACATAGCCTTCCTAAAACACTAACAGTAAAGAGTCATATAATGTTTACTCTTCCTTTATTGCAAAGTCTGTTTAATTTAGAATTTCCTATATCCTGTTTTGTTAATAGCCTTACAGACCCTGCAGTGTGATTCCAATTCAATTTACAGAGCAGGAGGTGAAAGTTTCTAAAGTTAATATCTGATTGAAAATGAAGCCATTTTTTCATGCAGGCTGTGTCCGTCATAACCTAGGGCTGCATAAACAGACAAAAATAATTTAACTCCTAGATGGCAAACAATTGAGCAATGAGACTGCAGGGGCATGATCTATACACTGCAACAGTTTAATTAAGCTAAAGTTGTTTTGGTGCCTATAGTCTCTTTTTAAGTGATGGGTAAGCTGTTGCGCATACACACTCACTTTGCTATTTGCCGGTAATCCTCTCGATTTTCTCTTCCTACTTCAATGGCTGTTTCACACAATTCTCTGCACTTATCGTAATTTCCCTGTTCAAAGTATACAGCTGGAAAATAAAAAATAAAGAAATCAGAATTGGTGACAAATTACAGTATACAAAGCATTCATGCTGCATATCCTAAAACAACTCTGGGTATGCAGACTATGGGACAGTAGACAACCAACATGGAGGGGAAAAAAAATCCTAAACTCTACTTGAGTTGGAATTTTACAAAGTTACAGTTTTGACCTTAATTTGTCAGGATACTGAAGTTCTTCATTAAGTGACTAAACCAACACGTTTTCATAGGTGCTTATGACAGACACACTTACCGGCCTGGTTGGTAATATAGGTCATGTTGGTTGGATCCAGTTCCTTGGCTTGTGCATAGTGCTTCAGTGCAGTTTCAAAGTCTTTCTTCTTGTAAGCTTCATTCCCTAGTTCCTTCTCTTTCACGGCCTGCAAGCAGAAGGCAGCATTATCTGAGGGGCTGGTACAACCAGAACATACCATATAACCATTTGCCAATTAAAGCCACCACTGCACCCCCCCTCCATTTTCCTTACAGCTGAAAAACTGCTTCTACACACATTGATACATCTTCTATGGACACATTACTTGAAATGTGGGATCTTCAACAATAATGCATTGCTTCCTAGTCTATCTACCATCGGATTCCAGTAATAAGCATGACATGACTGGTAGTTAAAATGGATCTTTAATGCCAGAGCGCCACCTTTTGTCAACCTCAGGCTTTTTTTAATAAGAGAAAGCAGTCCCTACTTTGTCTTATGATCCCTCTGGATTGCCTTAGAATTACATGTGAAAATTTAACAGTCTTGATTATTATTTAATAAATAAAATATATTTATGAAAATATTGAAAGTAGCATATCTGCTTTAAGTGGACGAAGGCACTATTAATGTACAGTTACAGGTTCAAAATTCAGATTCTGTGACTCCATGGGTTCAAAAAGGATTACTCACCTGCTTCTTGTTTTCAGGTAGATCTTCCTCCATTGGCTCAGGTTTTGTTTCTTTTTTAGGTTGGGGAGGAGGGGGTGCAGGAGTCTCCTCCTCTTCCTCATCAACACTTCCAAGGTCTACCCCCAAAAGCACACTTAATGTGGTCATCACTCTAGGATCTTGTAGCTTTCTAGAGAATGGAAAGTAAGACATCAAACTATACACAGAATTTGCATACATAAATGTATACAGAGATTCTGACGAGGAGCTGTTAACTTATTTCTAAATCTTATTTTCCACCTGCATAAATCACAAGGGCTTTCATGCACAGGCCAAAATCTGATGCAAATGTCAAGTCTTGAAAAATGTCCCACATGCAGGGGATCTCAGGAGACTCTGGCATCTATTCAGAAAAATGCAGCAAAAGTGTCCCCTTACTTCCACTAAGTAAAATAGGAATGGCTACCAATAAAAGTAATGGTTGCTCTCTAAAGGAGGAGTAGTCAAAGTACTATAAATGATGCTCTTGCAGTGATTTTGGTTCCAGCAGGCTGTGGGTTCTGTCCCCAAGTTCTGGGCCAAGCCGTTTAAATGGTGCCCTGAGCTTGCTAGCAGCATAAACCCTACATATCAACATGTGGTTTTAATTGTGCTTAGACTACCGCAGTTGCAAATATTTATTCCTTGATGCAATTTAGTTTCAATAAAGCTTCTATTGTACAACATGTGGGAAGATGCCTGATCTCATGACAGGTAAATAGGTGAAAGAGCTGTGGAATAATACTTCCAGGTGGAGTTCTTTCAGTTTGTTTTACAGTTAAAATTTATGTAGTTATTCAGTAAAGTGAGAATTGTCCAGAATGCAAAGTAATTCCAATTTTAAGGTCAAAATAGCCAAACTGGAAAAATTCTCCTAGTCTGCTATGCTTCTAGTTTGACTACTTTGGCCTACATTACTTAAGGAGCCAGCTTAACAGCTTAATTTGCTTTTTTTAATTTAAGGACCAAAGCAAGTTTTGCTCTGTGTCAATCTCTCATTTACTGCGCCAACACATATTCTATACCTTATTTTTATTTTTTTTAAAGGACAAAAAGGGCTTTCATTTGATGTGACAAATCCTCATAGTTTATAAAATAAATACACAAAAATGCAACCATCCCCCCCACCCCCCAGTTCTGGCAATAATAATGTATACATAAAGCAGCACTTACCCAATTCAAGTGCCGAGGTCAAGCGCAAAGGTGGATGTAATCTGATGGGGGACCTAATTATCATGCATGGGGAGTGCCATGTGTACATAATGCCTTCCCCATAGGAAACCATTGCCTCAATGAATTCCTATGGAGTTTTCTCTGATGCTTGACATCCTCATACAGAACTGAGGTTGTCTAGTGTTTTTTCACAGAGTCAAACCCAAAACCCTTCCCTCGAAAAGGAAAGTGTTATGTCCACCTTATGACAGCACATACATGATATCAAAACATGGAAGCCTCCTTAGTCACAAAGACATATCATGGCTTTAGAATTTCATAATGCATGAATGGTGGCATTGTCCATGCAATTATTCCCCTAATGAACAGGGAGTAACGCACAAATCCACTCCATGTAGTGTTGGGATCCCTAATCTAAGGCAGAATTGTCAGGTGTTCATCTGACCCATGGCCAGTAAGTGAGTGTAAGCTTTAACCTCTTAAGGACACATGACATGTGTGACATGTCAGGATTCATTTTTATTCAAGAAGTTTGGTCCTTAAGGTGTTAAAACCTGGCTTATACACAGTAAAGACGCTTTGATTAGCCTACAATTTTACTCACGTGCCAAGGTCGCTTGGCTTGTTCCTCAACTGTTCTATCAGATCTTTATAACTTGGGTCACTGAGCAGAGCACGAGTACGGGGGTCAGACTCCAGTTTTTGGAACAGGTTAGGCGAATTAAAAGGATTCATGAATTTTCTCTCTGAGAAAAGCAAGGTAAAGAAGAAGAAGGAGAGAATAAAGATCAGGCACACAAAATAAAAAAAAGCAGTAAATAAAATGATTACTATTTTTTGTATTGGAGGCTAGGTAAGTATACCTGCAAGCCGGGCCTCCATGTTCTGCAGTCCCTCTTTCAGCTGAGGATTTGTGGGTTCATGCTGCAATCCCTCTTGATAAGTTTTCTTGGCTTCTTCAAAGCGATTTAGAAATTCCAGTGCTGCAGCTTTGCGTGAATAGCCCTGCAGGAAGACAGTAAATGAATTCATAAAGCCAGTTTATCAAGCTAGTGTGCCAGGAGAATCCTTTTTTTAATACTGTTCAAAAAGTTATAAACACCACCCCCAACAAGGGGACTACACGCAGAATCCTTTAACCATAATCACAATATGCTGTAGTCCTAAAGACTGTAAGCTCGTTTGAGCAGGGTCCTCATCAACCTATCGTTCCTGTAAGTTTTCTTGTAATTGTCCGATTTATAGTTAAATCCCCCCTCTTAGAATATTGTAAAGTACTACGGAATCTTTTGGCGCTATATAAATAAATAATAATAATAATAATAAAAAATAGTGGTGCTTAAAATAGGGTGACAACTTTTAGATCTGTTCTTCTGGATCACTATATTCAGTTATATTTAAAGGATCCAAAAATGCATTCACGGATATGGGGTTCTTGACTAAAATGACCACGAGTGTGTCTGATCTCACCTTTCCCCAGTCAGGTTTGAGCTCCACTGTTTTACAGCCATCCTCCAATGCTTTGGCATATTCTCTCTTTTTGGCATAGGCTGCAGACCGGTTGCTAAATAAGACATGGTTTTTGGGGTCTAATTTGATGGCTTCAGAGTAACATCTCACTGCCTCATCCAGATTGCCTTCTGAGAGAGCTTTGTTGCCTTTTTCCTTTAACTCGTTTGCCTGGGGTTAAAGACAAAAAAATAAAATAAATATATATGAAAATATACAAACAATAGAGGACAAGTGTACAAATAATCTTGTATTATGTTTGAAAAGCATGACAAAATAACATCAGAAGAGGTTCATACAATCTTTGCATAAACCCCTATCTTTTCAAAGCCCCCTGGTGTGTCACTTAACCCCTTTCTCTCCAGAGAGCTGCACAATTACCACCCCCACACTGACTCACTCTGGTTAGCGTAGGATGGAGGGAGAAAAGCAGAAAGGCAGTATATTTTAACCAACAACTGTCCTCCTGGCACCGTGAAATGTGTGTGTAAAATAAATGATAAACAAATAAATTAGAGAATGATCATTATTCTGCAGCATGACAAATGATCAAAACAAAGAATTTACAAGAATGAGCAATATTTGCTGTTCAACACATTACACTACTCACTAGGTTCAATGGGTTAATCAGATTGAACAACCCGACATGCTGTAAAGGGTTTATTAACACAAACAAATAACATCCCAAGAAGGTTTAAAGCCTAGCAGAGACCTGAATTGCATGCATTTCGCATTAACACAGATGGGAGGGAAAAAGCACTCTGCACGACTTATTAAATTTACATGGAATTCAACTGGGCAGACATGTTCTAAGATCCAGATGACATCAGACATCACTCAACTCTGAATGCGGTGAGCTAAAATCTAAAAGGCATAATTGAGACAAAAGCAGCAGATATGGAAATATTCTCCAATCTCCGTTATAGCCACAGCTTAGTTATTTTAGCCTCAATTTTGCCTTATGAATATTAATTTAGTGCAACACAGGGTTTAATAGGAAATTTCCAGGCACTTACCTGAGCCTCCGCTCCCCCTGCACAATCTCCTTTAGAGTTGTGTGAAACTTCTAGAACACTCTGTCCCATTTATCCCACTGTGTTTACTGGTTTGCCCTGCTTGGGGATGATTCCCCAAGCAAGACAGATCCCCTCCAGGACACCAAAATGCTGGCTTTGTTGCATTTAATGTCAAAGTAATGTCAAGCACTCCGTAAACTGTGCTAGCAGCACCGGCTAGGGAATTACCATAGCAAACACAGCACAAGCATTTTATATTGCTGACTTAAAGGAACACTATAGGCACCCAGACCACTTCAGCTTATAGAAGTGGTCTGGGTGCACTGTCCCAGTCAGTTTAACCATATAATAAAATAATAATAATAATAGCAGTTATTGAGAAACTGCAATAGTTAGCTTGCAGGGTTAACGCCACCTCTAGTTGCTGTTTACCAGACAGCCACTAAAGGCTCTTCCAGGTTGTTAGGCGACTTTTGGTCGCATGAGGACATCTAGCATCAGCTAAAATCCATAGCAAAGCATTGATTGCACACTAGCTCCTAGACGTAGAAGGCCAGCGTCAGGGGAGGAGTGAAGGTGGATCCTGACCCAGCGCGGAGGGACATTGGCGCTGGATTCATGTAAGTGTCGAAATGGTTTTTAACCATTTCCGCGCAGCAGTGGGAGCTCAGGTGAGGGGGGTTCTATAGGCTAGTAATACAATTTTGTATTTCTATCCTATAGTTTCTCTTTAAACTGACAGGGCCACTGCACCCAGACCACTTCATTGAGATGAAGTGGGTCAGGGTGACAACAGTGGTCCTTTAAAAAGGCCTTTTGTCTCTAACACTTTAAGAGCATTCTAGGCATCATAATCACTACAGCTTGCTCACTGGCGGATCCAGTCTTATCTCAGGAGGTGCACTCATAGATTATTTAAAGAAACAATCTACGCACAATAACCACTACCAGTGTTTTTTCACGGACTCAAACCGAAAACCCTTCCCTCGAAAAGGAAAGTGTTATGTCCACCTTATGACAGCACATACATGATATCAAAACATGGAAGCCTCCTTAGTCACAGTTTTTTGTAGTGGTTATGGTGCCAGGAGTGCCGTGACGCCCTCCCAGAGTAAATAGTCAAACTGCTTAAGAACAGTTTGACAATTCACCTGGGGTCTGCCAGGATAGGGGCTGTAGTAGGGGATAGGGCCTCTAGTAGTGTGTGTGTCTGTGTATGGGAGGCACTGAGTGTGTGAGGGATGCAGGGTGGGTATTGGAGGCAGTGTGTATGGGGGTGCAGTAGGAGCACTGTGTATATGTGGGGTGCAGTGGAAGCACTATGTGTATGAGGGTGGGGGCAGTGCGTGTATGGGGGTGCAGTGTGTGTGTGTGGGAGCACTGTGTGTATAGGGGTGTAGTGTTTGTATGGGCAGCACTGTGTGTATGGGGGTACAGTGGGGGAAGTGTGTGTATGGAGGGCTATAGGGGCAGTGTGTGTGTGTGTGTAGTTGGAGGGGGCAGAGTGAAACAAATGTTTTGTTTTTTTAATAAAAAATAAAAAATAATAATAAAAAAAAAATATTCTTTACATCCTTCTTCCTTCTTACCTTTGCCCAGGGAGGGGGGATATTACTTCCAATCCCTGGTGGTCCTCGTGGTGAATCCCTGGTGGTTCTAGTGGGGAGCGAACTCTAGCCTGCAGCTCCTGGGCTAGAGTTCACTCTCGCGAGAATGGAGCGTTGCCATGGTAACCGCGACAAAGCTCTACGTGCCCTTCAAGAGGAGACCCGGCGGAGCTGGAGGTAAGAGGCAGAGCTCCCTGCTCTCCTCTCCCTCCTGTGCCGGCTGCCAGCAATGTGCCTGCGGACCGGTGAGGGAGATCTCTGATCTCCCCTCCAGTCCGTGAAGGCACTTAGCAGGGCTGGCGCTTGGATAGCACTGGCCCTGCAGGAGAGAAAGCTTTTGAGCAGAATCTGCTGACTATTGTAAAAGTTCTGCATAAGTTTGGCAGACATTGGTCAGACTTGAAAGACTAACAGCAATTGGCTAAATATAATAATAATAATAATAACAATAATAACTACTACTATTTATATAGCGCCTTTCTCCCAATGGGACTCAGAGCGCTTTTCAGCGCACGCTCTGAGAATTTACCAAATCGGCAGCTGAATAGTAATAGATGTTATTATCACTCATTTTATCGATCTCGGAAGGATGAAGGGCTGAGTTGGCCCTGCATTTTTCAACAGGCTTTGTAATTTGGGAATTTACCAACTGAGCTACCTCCAATTTTCCTAGCCTAGATTTGACATTTAATGCTTACGGTGCCCCTTTCATAACTGAAGACATCAAAGAAGTCTCAGCAACGAAGAATATTTCTAACACTGGTCCAGAATGAGGTAAAGATCAGAATACCAGTATGAAAGGCAATCTGTTGCAGTACTATAAAGTTTGGGGATTGCTAAACATAGAAAGATGCCCAGTCTCTATATGGTATCTGTAACAACGACAGTCAAAAGAGAGTCCCTCAATTTAAAGCTTGGCAAAGCACCAGGGGAGTTGTAGTTCTATAACAGCAGAGGTATATCTGTTGGCTATCTCTGATCTATAAGAAGCAGCAAGTCACTGGCTTCAAGTAGGTTAAATAGTAAGTACCAACAGGAACCCCTGCTTTTGGGAGAGAAAATAATGGCACCTCATGGGACAACATAAAACTTTCTTGACAGGTAACAATTCAGCTTACAGCTAGATTAATAAAATTGGATTGCTTTACCAAACATGTATGGTGCCTCTACCACAAACTCTTATGAGAAATAACTTTTTTTTTCTCCTAAAACAAAATACAAAAGGATAAAAAATTAAAAATTTTTTTAAAAAAAGCAGCAAACAAACCAACAGGCTAGATATTGCCCATAGTATAGGAGTCAGGGTGCTTGATAAAATGAGAAGGGCAGGATGTGAGCTGTAGAAACAATCCTTGGCTGTCAGGGCTGGCTTAGCATCATAGGTGCTGCATGTAAATATACAGGGAGCCCAGGCCAACCATCACCACTGCGAACAGTGTGGGCAACCATCACCACTGTAAGTAGAGAGGGCAACCACCATGACCACTGTAATTAGAGAGGGCAACCACCATCACCACTGTAAGTAGAGAGGGCAACAACCATCACCACTGTAAGTAGAGAGGGCAACAACCATCACCACTGTAAGTAGAGAGGGCAACCACCATCACCACTGTAAGTAGAGAGGGCAACCACCATCACCACTGTAAGTAGAGAGGGCAACCACCATCACCACTGTAAGTAGAGAGGGCAACCATCACCACTGTAAGTAGAGAGGGCAACCATCACCACTGTAAATAGAGAGGGCAACCATCACCACTGTAAGTAGAGAGGGCAACCATCACCACTGTAAATAGAGAGGCAACCATCACCACTGTAAGTAGAGAGGGCAACAACCATCACCACTGTAAGTAGAGAGGGCAACAACCATCACCACTGTAAGTAGAGAGGGCAACAACCATCACCACTGTAAGTAGAGAGGGCAACAACCATCACCACTGTAAGTAGAGAGGGCAACCATCACCACTCACCACTGTAAGTAGAGAGGGCAACCATCACCACTGTAAGTAGAGAGGGCAACAACCATCACCACTGTAAGTAGAGAGGGCAACAACCATCACCACTGTAAGTAGAGAGGGCAACAACCATCACCACTGTAAGTAGAGAGGGCAACAACCATCACCACTGTAAGTAGAGAGGGCAACCATCACCACTGTAAGTAGAGAGGCAACCATCACCACTGTAAGTAGAGAGGCAACCATCACCACTGTAAGTAGAGAGGCAACCATCACCACTGTAAGTAGAGAGGCAACCATCACCACTGTAAGTAGAGAGGGCAACCACCATCACCACTGTAAGTAGAGAGGGCAACCACCATCACCACTGTAAGTAGAGAGGGCACCCATCACCACTGTAAGTAGAGAGGGCAACCATCACCACTGTAAGTAGAGAGGGCAACCATCACCACTGTAAGTAGAGAGGGCAACAACCATCACCACTGTAAGTAGAGAGGGCAACAACCATCACCACTGTAAGTAGAGAGGGCAACAACCATCACCACTGTAAGTAGAGAGGGCAACAACCATCACCACTGTAAGTAGAGAGGCAACCATCACCACTGTAAGTAGAGAGGGCAACCATCACCACTGTAAGTAGAGAGGGCAACAACCATCACCACTGTAAGTAGAGAGGGCAACAACCATCACCACTGTAAGTAGAGAGGGCAACAACCATCACCACTGTAAGTAGAGAGGGCAACCATCACCACTGTAAGTAGAGAGGGCAACCACCATCACCACTGTAAGTAGAGAGGGCAACAACCATCACCACTGTAAGTAGAGAGGGCAACCATCACCACTGTAAGTAGAGAGGCAACCATCACCACTGTAAGTAGAGAGGGCAACAACCATCACCACTGCGAGCAGGAGGTCGCTGTATCAGGGATGACAGATCAGCTCCTGCCCCAGTGACCCCAGTAACTGCCCCCAGGTCAGACACCGCCATTACAGCAGCACAGCCAGCTAGCCAGGTGTCAGTTACCCCCTGAGTGAATTACTCCCCACTGACCGCCCCTATTCGTCGGACCCTGGCCGCTTACCGTCTCCATAGCTGCTCTCCGTCTCCGGCCTCTCCACGCGTCTTCTCGAACCTACTAGAAGATGACAGTTCAAAGACAGCCTCCTAACTGCTCTCCTATTGGTTGGATTCTACGATGTCACTCGCTGATTGGTCCGAGTCGCTGTCTGTCAGGCACGCATACCGCTTCGAGGACAGCACCGGGCGTCGCCAGGCTCACTGTTAATCCCGCCCACAACAGCCGTTGTAATAGGATTGGACGGCGAGGCCGTGGTGTTTGGGGTGGAATTGGCTGGAGGATTTCTGGAAGCTTCCACTACCCGGATTGGTCAGTGGCGTCGGCGAGCGTTCGGATTGGTGCGAATAGCCTGTCACTCAGAGCGATCCTCCCACTCAGAGCGATCCTCCTCTATGTTCATTGAGAAAAAGGGAAGGAGGAAGCGCGGAGTGATACGTGACGACGCACAGTGTGTACTCTCACCTTGCTGCCTGCCCTGTCTCCGTTTAATGAGTGGGGCTGGAAGGTGCCAGAACATGTCCACTAACTGCCCCGTCAGGCAGACACCTGGTGGCCATGGGCCCTCTGTCCCTTCATCTGGGGCACCAGATACACCTCTTCATGGGGCACAGTGCTGACACAACCATTAGTATCTCTCTCACATCCCAGTTACAAGATCTGGGCATATTGTAAAGGTTAGGTGAATGGTCACAGTGTCTCGGGTTGGTGCCCGGTCACAGTTTCCATGGTTTGTGTCCGGTCACGTTGTCTCGGTTTGGTGTCCGGTCACGTTGTCCCGGGTTGGTGTCCGGTCATGTTGTCCCGGGTTGGTGTCCGGTCACAGTTTCCATGGTTGGTGTCTGGTCATGTTGTCTCGGATTGGTGTCCGGTCACAGTGTCTTGGGTTGGTGTCCAGTCATAGTTTCCATGGTTGGTGTCCGGTCACATTGTCTCGGTTTGGTGTCCGGTCACAGTTTCCATGGTTGGTGTCTGGTCATGTTGTCTCGGATTGGTGTCCGGTCACAGTGTCTTGGGTTGGTGTCCAGTCATAGTTTCCATGGTTATTGTCCTGTCATAGTTTCCATGGTTGGTGTCAGTCACATTGTCTCGGGTTGGTGTCCGGTCACAGTGTCTTGGGTTGGTGTCCAGTCACAGTGTCTTGGGTTGGTGTCCAGTCACATTGTCTTGGGTTGGTGTCTGGTCACAGTTTCCTTGGTTTGTGTCTGGTCAAATTGTCTCTGGTTGGTGTCTGGTCACAGTGACCTGGATTGGTGTGCAGTCACAGTTTCCATGGTTGGTGTCTGGTTACATTGTCTCGGGTTGGTGTCCGGTCACAGTTTCCATTGTTGGTGTCAGGTCACAGTGACCTGGGTTGGTGTCCAGTCACAGTTTCCATGGTTGGTGTTCGGTCACGTCCCAGATTGGTGTCCGGTCACGTCCCAGATTGGTGTCCGGTCACGTCCCAGATTGGTGTCCAGTCACATTGTCTTGGGTTGGTGTCTGGTCAAATTGTCTCGGGTTGGTGTCTGGTCAAATTGTCCCACGTTGTTGTCCAGTCACATTGTCCTGGGTTGGTGTCAGGTCAGAGTAACCCGGGTTGGCTCCATGGCATCTGAGAGCACCAGCGAATAATCCCCAACAAGCATTCTGAGATGCTCTTGATGGTGTGAATGTACTAGGACCATGTACACAGAGCACCAGCAGCATTATGTATATGGCCTGCCATGAGTGGGGCCACTTAGGCTGTCAATCATCCCTGGTGTGTGTTTATGCCAGGCATACATGCATTAAAGGATGCCATTTTGTGATTCACCAGTGACTGCCCCTATGGCACCACCTGTCACGATTTAAAGTGTATCTGTCACTATATAGTATTTAAAAAATATATACCTATAGGAAATACTGATAGAGACTGCATTGGTATTTCACTAAAATTCCAACGCATCCCAAAGAAATCATAAGACAAAGTAGGGACTACTTCGACCAATGGACTCACACCGGATCTGTCTGCTTTGCAGGTTTTTGCGAAAATATGCAAACATCCCCAAAATTTACAGATCTGCTTTAAAGGACCACTCTAGGCACCCAAACCACTTCAGCTTAATGAAGTGGTCTGGGTGCCTGGTCCAGCTAGGGTTAACCCATTTTTTAATAAACATAGCAGTTTCAGAGAAACTGCTATGTTTATGAATGGGTTAAGCCTTCCCCCAATTCCTCTATGGCTGTCTCATTGACAGCCGCTAGAGGCGCTTGCGTGCTTCTCACTGTGATTTTCACAGTGAGAGCACGCCAGCGTCCATAGGAAAGCATTGATAATGCTTTCCTATGCGACCGGCTGAATGTGCGCGCAGCTCTTGCCGTGCGCGTGCGCATTCATCTGACGGGGAGGAACAGAGGAGGATCGGAGGAGGAGAGCTCCCCGCCCAGCGCTGGAAAAAGGTAAGTGTTTTTTTTTTTTTACCCCTTTCCCCCTTCCAGAGCCGGGGGGGAGGGGGACCCTGAGGGTGGGGGCTCCCTCAGGGCACTATAGTGCCAGGAAAACGAGTATGTTTTCCTGGCACTATAGTGGTCCTTTAATACTTTCAAGTATTGGGTGTTGTTATTATTTATTAGAATGCTTTCCAAAATCTGAAGTTATGCATTTTGGTCAGGGACTTGGGTGAGCCACATGGCGGTGTACCAGTAATGTTAGGTGTGATCAGGCCTGTCTGTGACTACTTGTCGTGTTACCTGCAACATAAGTGTGAAACCGCAAGGGAAATAATTATTGAGTGCTCCCCTCCTGAAAGGATACACTTCTTTAGCCTTGCAAAGGCTTCTCATTGAGCTGCACTGGGAAGTCTGTTATTGGACAGCCACAGAAAAACTGGGCGGGGCTAGAAAGGGAGGGTTTTCAAAGGCAGTAGACAAGAACATAATGGATTATATAAATAATGCATTCAAAAACATAAAAATAAATAAAACATCTGAAGTTCTTGCATATGCTGAAAATCATTAGGCTTTGTATCTTCTACAAAAAGCACTAACCACACCAAGTGGCACAATACCTGATGGTAACATTATTTTAAAGGAAACTGTATATCCCACAAACCTTTTCCTAGCAGAGGGTAAAGGAGCATATATTTTAAGATTTAGCAAGACTTCCAGTTAACAATGCTGCCCTCACATTGTCAACTCATTTCACAGTTTTAATATTTGAGCTATCAACCACTGTTAGATACTTTCAAAGAAAGCTTTGGAGAATAACACTGTAACGGACTGTTAAGCACACAAGGGGTTAAAATCAGTTTAGGCGATATTCCCCTTCCAGATAGACGAGCAGCTACTGCAATCACCAATCTCCAGAACTGCAAACACATGAATACTCCAACTCCCGAACAGGAAACACATGAATGCTGTCAACAACCGAACAAGAAAAACCATACGAACAGTTTACACTCCTGGCAGTCGCACTGTAACAGCATACAATCCAATTCCCCCCATGAACGTGACGACACTTCGTTTGAGGGTCAAGCAGAACTGAAGCTTTAATCCAACACTCTGCTTTTATGCACGTTTTTCACACATAGTACTGCCCACAGGGTTTTGCAGAATAACCTATCAATACGTACAATACACTCAGATACTCCCAGCAATTACATACAAAATCCTCCCCTCTGCCTGTGATATAATTCCTTAACACAATGGGCTGACGATATTAAACACAGGCAGGAAAATACTCAATTTTACGCAATATTCATAACTTTAAAAGTATACATGACGTTTGCATTACATTTTCAGAATCAGCATACTCCAAATACAAACATATGTCAAAATCATTTGGTCCAGTGGTTCAAAAGTTAGTTGGAAATACCTTTTTGGCCAACTGCAAGCATGGCTTGGGTGTGGTAAGCCAATTATCTCCAGCATACAGAAAATATCTCCATTTACAACAACAGTAAAAACACATAAAAATACATAATTCCTATCATACTGAACAGAACCCCCACATTCAACCTATCCCCAGATACCTTGGATCTGAGCGCTCACTATATCCGAACAGTGCTCAGATCCCACAAACACAGTCAAATCGCCATGGGGTTAAAGTTTAGCAACAAGTTCCAACTGGTCTGGCAGTTTCCCTTGGACAACGCCCTGCTGGAGAACAATAGACAGGAAACGGGGGAGGGGCACACCTTCTCATGTATTCAAAGGGGCAGAAAAAATGTTTCAAAATCCAGTAAGCACAAATAATGCTTACACAGGGCAAAGTCTCCCAGGGTCCATAGTCACATGGCAGGAGGCTGGCAATCAGTCTTCTCCAATGCCCAGTGGCGAGGCTGATTTCGCCACTATGACGGAACGCTGGCACTCCGACTGAGTACCTCCGCCAATCGATGCTCCTAGTGCTCGCTGAGGACTTCAAACACTCCAACCGACACCATCAGCACTGCAGACCCCACTTCCAGCGATGCAACTGCGCCGGGGTCTCTGCTGTTTCCACCCACCCTGGACCCAAGGCCAGGATCCAGCTTCCAGTGGGTGAACCTCTCTTTCCCCAGAGAGCAGGAACAGGAACAAATCAAGCTATTGCAAGAGCTTCCTCTGGGGAGTAAGTGATTATAGCAATCCCCAGAGTGTAGGTATCCCTTCCCCCAAACATGAGCCAAGGCTTAATGCTGGAACAAGACTGATTTACTGGCACACAGAACTCACAAGTTATGCAACACAAAACTCCTCCTCTGGGCCAGGCTAGATAATTGAGTTGCTACAATACACAAAGCTCAATTATCTGCTGGCCAGATATAATACAGTTTCATAAAACACACAGGGACCCCAAAACATGCAATAACCCCATAAAAAGTATATCCTTGGAACCGGGGGATCTGGGTGAACCACATATCCAAAATTCACCCAGATCCGTTCAGTACTTTGGAAAATACAGTTTAATGCAGATTCTGCAGAACATATACAGGCTAAATAAAAAACAATCACTGTATAATGTGTCCCCTGCTGTATAGTCCAAAACCACTGCACGATGTCTCTGTGCAACAAATACTGGCGAGATGGCACCGTGTTGAAAAGTCCACACAGTGTCTGTGAGTTAAAATGGCCGCCATCCATTGTTCTCACCATGTGCTTCTGATACAGGAAATGGTGGCCACCCAGTAACTCCACAGTATGTCCCAGATGGTTCTTAAAGGGCCAGCAGCAGCACAACACAAATCCATTATGCCCAAATCATGTCTTTAAAGGGCAATACATCCCAGGGGCCATAGTCACAGGGCAAGAGGCGGGCAAGCAGTCCTCTCCAGGCACAAGTGGCGAAGGGCACTTCGTCACACATCTTCCCTTTGGGGGGAAGACTAAACAGGTACCTGACCTTCTGCCGGTCAGTACCTAGATTAGTCGGGCAGCCCACCCACAAAGAAAAATACGCAGAGTAACCCCCCCACAATAAATGGTACTGGCCTGTAGGTTCACGTTTGTAGTGGGACAGCGCAGCACTCTCGGTCTCCCTGGTGCAGCTAGGCAAACTGCTGGTGTTGCTTGGGGGGCAGAGGCCAGCGGCGCTCTGCCCTGCTGCCAGCTCTTCCACTGGGGTAACCCGTGGTAAGTCAGGCTCTGATACAGGGGAAAAGGGGGGGGCAGAGGCTAACAGAGCTCTGCCCAGATGCCAGCTCTTCTGCTGGGAGGGGGTCAGTGGGTATCGCAGGCTCATCCACTGCCCCCAGGACCCGGTTGGGATGTAGCTGGGGAGGGGAAGTTTCGCTTACCTCCTCCTCCTGGCATCCCTGCGGGGTTGGTTGGGGATCTGGACCGCCCGTCCAGCCTCCCTGTAGGACTGGCACAGAGACCGCGGTCCCATCTGTGCCAGTGTGGTTAGATTTGTCTTCCCCCTCTCCCGGTATCTCTGGCTGCTGTTGGAGGGGGAGGCTGGTTGCCCCCACTCCCCAGGACGCTGGTTGCTGTAAGGTGGAGGGATCGACCATCACCTCCTCCTGGAACTCAGGCCGCCGCTGGGGAGAGAGACCAGTTGTCTCCCCTCCCTGTATATTATACTGCCGCTGGGGACCTGGGCTGAATGCCCAGCATCCCTGTAGGGCTGGCAGAGAGACTTCGGTCCCATCTCCATAGTTGTGGGGCTTAACATCTCCCCTTGGTGAGTTAGGCTGCCGCTGGAGAGAGGGTGTAACAAGCTCCTCTCTCTGAACTGTAGACTGCCGCTGGGGAGAGGGGGTAACCTGCTCCTCTCCCTGACACTCTCTTTGCTGGTGGAGAGGGGGACCAACTGTCTCCCCTTTCAATATTTTGTCCTGAGGCTGGGGTGCGAGACAGACGGTCTCTGCTTCCTGGGGTACACACTGCCGCTGGGGAGGAAGGACGACACCTTTGGCTCCCTGGGATACACACTGCCACTGGGGAGGAAGGATGGCACCTTCTGCTCCCTGGGGTACAAACTGCCGCTGGGGAGGAAGGATGACACCTTCAGCTCCCTGGGATACACACTGCCGCTGGGGAGGGAGGACGGCACCTTCTGCTCCCTGGGACACACACTGCCACTGGGGAGGAAGGATGGCACCTTCTGCTCCCTGGGGTACACACTGCCGCTGGGGAGGAAGGACGGCACCTTCTGCTCCCTGGGGTACACACTGCCGCTGGGGAGGAAGGACGGCACCTTCTGCTCCCTGGGATACACACTGCCGCTGGGGAGGAAGGACGACACCTTCAGCTCCCTGGGATACACACTGGCGCTGGGGAGGAAGGACGGCACCTTCAACTCCCTGGGACACGCACTGCCGCTGGGGAGGAAGGACGACACCTTCAGCTCCCTAGGATACACACTGCCGCCGGGGAGGAAGGATGGCACCTTCAGCTCCCTGGGGGACACACTGCCGCTGGGGAGAGAAACCGGTTGTCTCTTCCCTCTGTACGGTGCACTGCCGCTGGGAAGGGAGGTCGCTGCTCTCCTCTCCCTGTAACTCACTCTGTCGCTGGAGACGGGGTGTCAATACCCCCAAACTCCACAGTTGGTACTCGAAGTTCCGTGCGTCTTGGTTCTCAGCACCTAACATGCGCATCACTTGATGGACCACCTCATCTGAAGGGTTTGGGCCAAACCAGACCAGCCGCGCCTTTAATTCCTTCATGAAATCAGCACCCTCATAGCACTGTGACAGGCGGATTTGCAATTCACTGGCTGCTGTCCAGGGTCTTGCTAGCTCCATGTTGCTGTAGGTAGGGACGCTGCGCAGAGGCTAGCGTTGCCCTCAATTATAAATCTGTAACTCCACACGTTACCGTTGTCTCCGAGCTGCTGGTCCTCGCACTAGGACGCCATCCCACCGCTGCCACCAAATGTGACGGAACGCTGGCACTCCGACTGAGTACCTCCGCCAATCGATGCTCCTAGTGCTCGCTGAGGACTCCAAACACTCCAACCGACACCATCAGCACTGCAGACCCTACTTCCAGCGATGCAACTGCGCCGGGGTCTCTGCTGTTTCCACCCACCCTGGACCCAAGGCCAGGATCCAGCTTCCAGTGGGTGAACCTCTCTTTCCCCAGAGAGCAGGAACAGGAACAAATCAAGCTATTGCAAGAGCTTCCTCTGGGGAGTAAGTGATTATAGCAATCCCCAGAGTGTAGGTATCCCTTCCCCCAAACATGAGCCAAGGCTTAAAGCGGCACTGTCATGCCGAACTTACCTTTCCTCAATCTCTTCCTCTTCTCCCCCTCTCTCAGGATCTGTTATTCTTTTCTTCCTGTCTTCTTTAGTTTTCTTTAAAATCATAAGACAAAGTAGGGACTCTTTGCCTTATGGAGGATTCCTCCGCTTGACCAGCTCTGACCAGCGGAGGAGCAAAGTGTGCTTCATTTCCGCTGGTCAGAGCAATTTTCCCATGATCCCTAGCTTCCCTCAGTGATCCCACAATGCTTCCTGTCACTTTACACAAAACTGCCGAATTGCGCTCTAACTGAATGAGAACAGTATGTTCGTTTCTTTTAGAACGCAATTCGGCACTTTATTCGGATCGGAATTTCATTCTAATGAATGAAACTCTGATCCTATTCATTGCTGTGGTTGCATCTTGTGCAGTCAGTTAGTAGATGTAACTCCCCAATTCCTTACAACAGGGAGCTATCTACTAAAAGGCTGAAAGACCTAAATTGGTCTAACAGTTAATCCTGTATCA